ACGTACTCTGGTTTAACTACAAATCCCCAAGGAATATTGATCACAGCGCCAAGCACAGTCAATACCGCTATCACTGCACCAGAAGTTTTTTCTGAACAATATTTTGTTTTCAGGTTTCGGCAACAGATGGCCACATTTCGATCAAAGGTGAAAGCCACAATTATCCAGGCAGAAATTCGTGTTGTTCAACCAGCCAGTACCATTAGAATTACAGATACCGACAGAGAGAGAGAGGAGACAGAGATTCAAAGAGTGAGAGACAAACACAAGCGCACACAGCAATAAACACACAAGCAGAGAGATACACACACAGATAGAGAAACAGAGTCACGGACAGAAAGAAACACAAACAGTCAGAGAGTGGCACACGCGGGCAGCACGAGAGTAATACACAGAAAGTGATTCAAAGTTACAAAGCAAGACAGAGACAGAGATAGAGAGTAACACATCGACAGAGGGAGAAACACAGACACACACGGACTGGCAGAGTGATAAAGAAATAAACAGAGACAGCTTCAAATAGATTGAGAGATATCTATTGACAGAGCGAGATACAGAGAGAAACACACATAGACAGTCAGAGAGATGAATAGTTCCTCATAGAGAGAAACATACATAGGCAGAGAAAGATACATATATTTATGCAGTGTCAGATACAAAGGAACAAGCAGGCACAGACATATTATGTTTCTGAAAGACAACCATAAAACCATTGCATATGTGTTTGTCATCCAGCCCTCATTAATAATAATATTGTTAATAATAATTAATAAAAATGCTTGCATTCGATTAAGCGCCTTAAGTGGTTGTTGTGAGGTCTCAAAGCGGTTCACATGATAATCTGAAACGTAAATTTACTGTATATTTTGTGGGTCAAATCCGGCATCCAAATGCACACAGATTTGCAATTTACGAGTTTCGCCGCCAACAATCACGTAAATCAAATGTCCAAGAAGTGACTGAATCTATGGATTTCGTGACATTTAAAAATGCCAAATAGAATACTTTTATAGTTTCAGTATAATTTCAGATCTCAGACGCCATTGAAGATAATGCAAGAGAGGATGACAGAAGGTTGTCAAAATTGTCTTGAGGTAATCAAAATAAACCTCACAAATATGGCATGTAACCAATGGACGTCATATTAACCAAGACCCAGGTTATCGCCAGGCCCGGAAGTCCACTGATCTAAAGAAAAATGTCATAATATTGCAGGATTTAAATTATTTGGTTGCAATGAACAGCCAATGATGCTGGGGAAATGCAGCTACATTTATGGGTAGATTGGAGAAATTGAGACTGTTTTCATTAAAAATTGAATGTTGATAGCAGAGTTTGGTGATTGTTGTACGTTTGTGAGGGACTAACAAGTAAATAGGGCTGCTAACTGCTTTGTGTGAGAATGCAGCGAATGTACATATTGGTGAAATCCAAGATGAAGCAGTGATGTGAAATTGTGGAAAACAGGGAAGTGATGAAAGAGAGTGAGTGAGAGAGAGGGAGAGCCTGAGAGAGAGGGAGGGAGGGAGGGGTCGCTGGACAATCTGCTAACTGTGTGGAAGAGCAACCTACATTAGAAATGTCTTCACAGAAGACGCATGTCTTTACCAGAGGCCTTCACAAGAGGACGTTAATTAAGCGGCTCTTGTACACTTTGCAACTTTTCATTACATTTGCTTGGGTTAAGACGCATGCAGTGCCTAAATGGCTTACGTTGGATATTGCCATTAAATTCCGTAGCGTCGTTGGACATGCTGAGGTTTCAAAAATCTGGTGTCGCACCCAGAGAGCTCCGCATTTTTCCAGGACACTGCTTATGATAGCGGAGCTCACACGTAAAACATGCCTTCCTCACATCTAGTCTCAATTGTGTCATCTCCCTGCTTCTCGGTCTTTCCAATAGTTCCCTGCACAAGATCATCAAGATCACTGGTGAATTTGAGTAACTCAGGCAGGAGGTGTAAAACGCATGCAAGAGATTCGGCATCATTTAAGGCAAATTACGTTTGGAGGCAGACAACGTGGGGACATGGTGGAAAGCTGTCCTGATTCAGCAACGGATGTGGAGTGGAAGGACAGCTGAGGGTTGTACCGGACGCCTGTATTGCGCACGTTCTCCCTGCCGTCTGGCACTGTTCCTAATACCCTGAAAACAGCACTGTCACCCCCACATTAAAAAACCTTTCCTTGATAGCTATCCAGTTACCGCCACAACTCCGATCACACTTTTCTGACTAAGGTGCTTGAGAGAGTCGTCGCCACCCCGCTTCGATATTTCCTCTACTCCCACTCGCTTCATAAGCCCCTCCAATCGTATTCCACAGCACATAAGCAGCCCTGGTCAATGTCACAAATGTCATCCTGACCATATACGACCAGGGCTCCCTCTGCCGATTGTCATCCTCGACCTCTCCGCTGCCTTTGACACTGTGGAAAATTCAATCCTCAACCACAGCCTCTCCCACCTCAACTTTCAAAGATCTGTCATTGACTGGTTCAGGTCCTAACTTTCGCAGCGTCTCCACTCCGTCTCTGCAAACGGCTTCTCCTCCAGCTCCCTCATCGTATCGTGCGGTGTTCCTGAAGGCTCTGTCCCCTCCTCTTCAGCCTCTGCATGTTCCTCCTTGGCGACGTCATGCGCAGATATGAGGTAAATTTCCACATGCATGCAGATGACACCTACTCTACCTCTGTGCTTCCACCGTGAACTCCAGGACTACTGGCGTCCTGACCGACTGGATGAGGTACAACTTTCTCCACTTCAACGTTAGCAACACCGAGGCCCTCTTGTTTGGATCGCACTTCAGGCGCTGCCAGCAACAGCCTCCACGGCTGCACACTCAACCCCACTAAGCCAGTCAGGAACCTGGATATCTTGTTTGACTCTGAATTGTCCTACCATCCCCACATCCGCGCCATGACCGGCATTGCCTACCACCAGCTCCGCAATATTTCCAGACTCAGCCACTGCCTCACCCCTCAGGCTGCCGAAACCCTCACCCGTGCAGTCGTTACCTCAAGGCTTGATTATGGGAACTCGCTGTTCATCGGCTTTCCCATCTCTTCCCCTTACAAGCTGCAGATCATCCAAAACTCTGCTGCTCGTGTACTCTCACGCACCAGGCTACGTGACTCAATCACTCCCACCGTCACTACATTGGAATCCCGTCCCCCAGAGGGTGGAGTTCAGCATTCTCGTCCTCACCTTCAAGGCTATCCATGGCCTTGCCCCCTCCTAACTCTATAACCTTCTGACTCCCTACCAACCCGCCCACTTACTTCATTCATCAGCCTGAGGCCTGCTCCTTGTCTCCCGGCCGACCCGCCCTACCATCAGTGGCCGGGCTTTCAGCCTCTCTGGCTCCTCGCTCTGGGATTGCATCCCAAGGTCCATCCTCGCTTCCTTCTTTGCATCGATTCCCTTCTCTTCGACCATGCTTTTGTTCTCCCTCCTATCTCTCTGCCTTCCCTCACCCCTCCGCTACACCGCCCCCATGCTGTGACCACGACAGCGCTTTGGGACGTCCTCCCGATGTGAAAGGCGCTCTATATATGTAATCTTTTACTTCTTGTTGTTGATGGCTAGAAAACGATTTCAGCTGGGATCAGGCTTTCTGTCCTTTCATTTCATGATATGGCAATATTTGAATAAAGAGTTCGATCAACAGCTGGTGCTTTTCTGTGTTAAAAATCAGGCAAAATCAGTTGATAACAACATTACATGAAATAATCACAATGTTCAGTTGATCTCCAGTGCCTTTTGTTATTTGTATCTCTAATATGTAGTTCGATGTAACAAAAGATCTGCTGAATTCAAGTTACTTCAGCACAATGATATTGGCTTTGTGCTTCTACTCAAACCGCTGTCTCTCACCTGGATTCCCAGTGTGGAGAGGACACCGGCAACCATGTTCGGCACACAGTTTAGAGCTTGAAAGTGTTTCAGACAATAAATCGCTCTTTATGTTTTCAAAGGCTAATAATCCTTGGCTTATATCACGCATGAATTAAGGAGGCAATAGCCTTTGATTCCCCCTAAACCCGACTCTATTGGGCACTAAACTGCGTGAGGGACGCAATGACCAGCTCAGCACGAACACCATGGTAACCAGCTCAACGCTAACATTATGGCGACCAGGTGTGAATGAACGCAGTCTCGGTGTCCAGAGGGGCTATAAAGAGCCTTTATTATTGTTGTCCCTTTATTTATCATCAGGATGGACTCTATTCGTTCCCAAAATGATAGCTGTTTTTACGTTGTTTAAACACTGAGAACCGACACATTTAAGCGTTATTTAGTTTGTGAAGTATGAACTGACACACATTTCCATGCAAGTAGTAAAATTTAATAAAAGGTTTGAAATCTTATATATCATCAAATTTATACACTTCATCAAATCAAACGAATGCTGACGACAGGTTAGTTGTCAAATTAAAGTTGATCACAGATTAGTAAAGTTCACTCTAGTGGGTTAATCGGATCAATATATTGGCTTTGATTTAGGAATCGCTTAGGTACGTTCCCATCAGCCGATTCTGATTAAAAAACACAGACCATTACATCAACCTCTAACACATCCGGAGTCCTGCAGCACCGGGTCACTCGCGACGACAAGCGAGAATCCTGGATTCGCTTGCCCAGCAGAGGAAACTTTGGGCAAGTTTGCTTCCTGCACAAGGCTGATAGTAATCCTCGAAAATATAATATTAAAAGGATCACTGTTTACATTACTGTGCTGTGCACAATTTGGCCCACATATAATCAATCAATTCAATTCACAAGCGTGTCCTGTTGTGCAGAAGACGAGAAGAGAGCTAAATCATTTATTACATTCTACAAAACACAGCTGCCGCTGTGACAAAGAAAGTTTTACTTATGATCAAGACAAACATACGGCTATTCTCTCTCTCTCTCACTCTCTTACGCTGGTATTCACCACAGGTAATGGCGAGGAGACGCAGAGAGGAGAGAGTACAGCTCATGGTTACTGACCACTTCGCTACGCTCTGAGCGTGGAGTTGACTGGTCCATCATCCGCACCGGCTGCGGCATCTAAAGTCCCTTTGGCGTCGGTGATATCAACGTCCTGCAAACAGGCCAAAAATTAGCACATGGGTGGACGGTCATGGGGAAACATATGAACAAACCCTGGGAGACCCTGTACAAAAGAGCCAGTGTGAGCGCGTGTGTGTGTGTATTTTTGTGTGTATGTGAGTGTGTGGGTTTGTGTGTGACTTTGTTGTGTGTGAGTGCAGTCGGTGTTGCAGCCACTATGTCCCAACCCTTAAGAACACTTTCATTCAGTTACTTTGTCTCGCTTCCTCCCTTGCCTCCAAAGCCATTCTGAAAATCCTCCCTTTAGACCATTCCTTGGGCCACATTCCTATCCCTTCCGATTCTGCCCATCACCCTCTTGGATCCAACCGCCAGCTTTGGTCCAAGTCGTTGAATGTCAAATTGCCTTGGGAAGTCCTCCCGATGTGACAGGGTGCGTAAATACACTAGCACAAACACACAGACACAGCATGCACAGCCACAAACAGAGACACACAAATGGAACACAAAGACACACACAGGCAAAAACATACACACAGTCATAATCACACACACACAAACACACACACAGCGCTGACGTAGACGTAGGCAGACGCAGAGCTAAACTGGGCTGACAAGGGGCTGAGCTTGTCTGAGCAGGGAAGAGCTGGGCTGACACAGGGCTGAGCTAAGCTGACACAGGGCCGGACTGAGTTGGGCTGACACAGGGCCTGAGTTTGGCTGAAGGCCAATAAAGGGGTAAATGCTCACCACTGGTAGTAGAGAACATTCAACCATTCTCAACGTCACATCTGAAACAAAAACAAACGTGATCTAACACCAGCACATTAACATTCATTGTCATGTATTCATATTATTAAGGATATCAATAATTAGAACGGTCAATTATCAACGATAATGACAATTAGTTGAGTCCTGTAGCTCAGTGGTTTGAGCACTCGCTTTGCAATTGAGACACCCGAGTTCAATTCCAGGCAGAGGGCGAAACCTTGGGCACGTTTCCTTACTCCACACAGAGCCTAATAACAATCCCTCCAAAACCCAAACCCAAAAAACAAAAAATGACTGGTCATTTTCAATCTACGACTGTTTGTGGGACATTACTGTGCGAAATTCGCTGCCGCGTTCACCCACAAAAATACAGTCAATTCACTTCACAGTATATTCTATGAAGCGCTTTGGTACGTCCTCCCAACGTGAAAAGCGCTATATCAAATGCAAGGATTATTATTATTATAATAATAACTATTACACAGGCTACTTATTAATAATCTTTGCATTTGAAAGAAACAGTTTCACGTCATCAAGTTATCCCAAATCGCTTAACAAGATTGACCGTATTGGATTAAATATAGTTTATGATTGAAAAACAAGACCTAATTCCGTAAGGCAGTGCCCCACAAACGCTGAATAACCTATTTTATTTGCGGGATTTTCGGCAACGATACAGTGAGATTTTCAATATCAACCTGAGAAGGCAGACTGCACAACATTTTATCATCAAAACTTTAGTACACAACCCTTCAAGCAGTTGTACTTCAGATAAATAATGAGAGCAGACGCACAGAAAAATACGCATTTAGATAAGCAGACATGTACGCAGCCACACACACACACACACACACAGACAGACACACGCACATCGATACCTGGACAGACACACAGACATACACAGACAAAGAGACAGGCACAAAGACATACACACATATGGACAGTCGACCAATGAAACAAACAGTCAAATACACAGACAAACAGAGACAGAGCAGTAAATAGACAGACACACACGCACAAACACAAACGGCGCAGAGACACACAGAGAGTTACATACAGACAGCCTAAGAGAGACGGAGAGTGACAGAGCCAGAGAGAGTGGCTGGGAGACCATTGGTCTCTTGTTTGGAGGAGGCTCATGTGCAAGCGATAATTTTTTGTGGGGCTTGGACACTCGGCTTTGCAAGCCTGTTTCTGAACTTACCCCCTGGGCTCAAACCCAGGAAATCTATCACTCACATATATTGCTGCTCGTTTGCGGGCTGCCTCCCGTTGGTACGTTCCTGAGTGAAAAACACATAGAGTTGAGAGTGATGAATTCCTTTCTGCTTTACGGAGAAGGATTAGAGAACTCAGACCTGCGCTTGTCATTGGGCTAAGCAGGAACTAATTTCTGTTGTCTGCGGGAAACCGTAAGAAATGGCACTGACAGAACTGCTGTTGAAGGACCATAAGAGACACTAGGGGCCGAATGGCCGCCTTCTGTTTGTCACTGTGTCTGGTTCTAGGTTTCTGAAAACATCATGAAGTTTGCCAGACGTTGATTTACACGCCGCTTCAAAGGCAGGTTCCTGGCCTTGTATGGAGATAGCGTGTTTTTGTGTGAGTGTGTGTGTGTGGGGGAGGGGGGTGGATAGGTGCGTTGTTGTGGAAGGGAGCTGGGGGTGATATTATGGGGGTGGGAAGGCTGGTTGTCTGGGTTAGGGTGTGTTTTAGAGAGGATATGTGTGGGAGGCTGTGGGTACGAAAGTGACCGGTTGCAATTATTTCCCTGGAGGATTTTGAATTAAGATTGATGGGGTTGGGGGAAGGCAGCCAGGTGGCTGATCACTGTGCAAAGCCATCATTGTGCTTAAGATTTTCACTCACGCCGCCTGTGTTTGCAGTTAATATGCTGAATCTCTGCCAACATGACCACCACTGGGATTATGCTCAGGCTGTTGAGAGTCACGGCTTTCATCGGGGTAAATAGCAACTAATTAAGGTCAATAAACGGGGTAACGAGCAACTGATTAAACCTGCATCGTTGCTACTGAGGGTAGTGCCCAGCAAGCTTTCCCACTGCCTGTCCAGTTACGAGCACCCTAGCCCTGCCGCTGCTTGGGGGAGCAAGCACTGTCGCATACACAATGGGGACAGAGCAGAGAGAGGGATTGGTGTAAAGAGCTCGAATGTGGGAGCCAACACCAGCAAATACACGATGTGGAGATAGCGGGGAATGGGACCAGAGCAAAGAGCGCCAACGTGGAACTAGCAGTAGCACAAATATATTGGGGAAAGAGCAGCGGAGACAGATTACAGTTAGAGAGCAGCCCAAGCAGAAACACAGTGGATAGAGACTGGGGAATGGGGTTACAGAAGAGAGTTCCAGTGGGTATCGAGCATCAGCAAATACAGACTGGGATGAGGACAAGGAATGTGATTTTAGTAGAAATGTTCTCACCATTTCCCTCTTGGACTGTTGTGTTTATCTGGAAATGCAAAATTTAATACATGTAAAAAATTCGTCAGTAGTGGTTTCACATTGTGTTTATGTTGATAATAGGCATTATATCCAGTGTCAAAAGGCATTCACAGACACTCGTTATCAAGTGTAAATTCTTGCCCGCAACTTAGACATTGCTGGCTATTCCTTTATACCCCAAAAACTATACACTATATTCAGTGATATAAATAGACACTTACCTCTCTTATACACACATAAACCAACTGTAAACACAGTGATCACTTTCGCAGTGACGATCCCCACAGCAAGTCCTACAGTGTGCATCCAGGTCCAGTATCCTAGAAAGGAAAGGGGGCAAAAAGTTATTTGTCCTTTTTAATAGCGAATATCTGAACATAACACATCATTTTAAAGACCTCAATCAGGTTTTCATCTCCTCTTGATGTAAAACTACTGTAGAAAGTAAAGTTTTCTCTCAAATATCCCTGTTCGAATGAAAATAGCCAAATTTCACTCCATTCTGTCCAAGTGAGGAAAGCTTCTGGAAACAGGCCCTTAGGAGAACGATATAAGCAGCGGATCTTCAGCGGCTGACCTGGTTATCCGATAAGCTCTCGAACATCAGAATCAAGCCCACCTTTGCCGTAGGTCTCTAGCCCATCCCTGAGCAAGCCGGGCCAGCACTACTCCATGCCAACTAACTCATAGGCAGAAGGTTGATGAGAAGATCTGTCACTATGAAGTGTTATTTCTCCACTCGGCCATTATAGTTCATTGTGCGAGATTTTGCTCAGCTCTTACCCCACACAGAGATTCCCATTCGCTCGCTCTCTGGTGATGTAAACTGTCGTCCGTCTATGCGTGCAATATATTTACAAATGTAGTTTCCTGTAAGGATCTCCGGAAGGGCGAATGTGGCCTTGTTGTTCTTCTTTGGAGCTGGCTGTGATATGATAAACTCGCCGTCTCTGTATAAAGAGAAGTTAGCGCCAGGATAATTCCCAAAACACGAGATCTCAGGTCTGTCCCCTCTCACAATTACCCGGGAATCTGGATTAAGTGAAATTGTGGGTTTCTGAAGCGGATCTGGAAATAAAGCACAGGAAAGTTAACCTCGCTCTGTAGCTGCACACGGTTTTGGTGAGAATAAAATTTTTCATTTGCATTTTTCCCTGCCTGGAGGAGGCGTCCGTACGATTAGGAGAGGGAGAGAGGTTGAGGGACAGTTTCAGAACAGTACCCAGTAATTATCTATTCGCAGAGAGGAATGGAGAGAGACGGCTTTGTGCGGGGTGGCCAGGGAGGGCAGAGAGGCCAGGCACTCGTTTAACATACAGCTTCAGGCTAGGATAGGAGTCCGTGGATTCAGCCTGGTCCTCTCGTGTTGTCTTCAGTTGTGTGTCAAACACATTTAAGCGGAATTCAGACATACACATGACGTAGAGTAACTGCAGTTGAACGGTTTATATGCAGATGCGTTTGGCAACAGATTATTAGAATTGAGGCCACCGCGATTTGTCTCTTGTCTTGTTCCTCAGAGAGGTGGCTACTCGGTATTCCAGGGCATTGCTGGTGATAGAGCAGACCAGACTGGCTCATCGGCAGGAAATGGAAAGGCAGACCAAACACTGGTGCCAGTTTATGATTACACTCAGATTCTGTGAAAAGCAGAAGCTAAAGTTCCAACAGGTAATGTGCTAAAGCTAAAGCTTGCCAGCCATCGACAGCAAAAGCAGCTATGTGCACACTCTGCGGTTTGGTTTTCACTGACCCGCAGGTCACAGCCTCTGGGAATGATGAGCAGAAAGTGTGCCATCCACCGAATATAGAAGTGGGTGGTGTTGGTTGGAGCAGGGAGGGAGAGAGGCGAACGAGGAAGGGGAAAATGGTAGAGAGAGAGCGTGGATGGGAAGAGAAAAGAGTGTGGGGGAGAGGCTAGACGGGGGAAGTGAGCGGGGGAAGGAAAGGTAGCTAGGGGGGGAAGCGGGGAGGAGAGATGGGGTGAAGAGAAGGATGTAGAGCCCGGAGAATGAGGGGGCGAGCGATTATAGATGGGGTCAAAATGGGACGGAAATGGTGCGAAATGGGAGAGAGAGTGGGAAGAAAATACCCGGGAACGATAGAGGTGGGAGAGTCGCGGGAGAGAGGGAGGAGAGGGGGGGACAGGATAGACTGAGGAGGGTAGAGGGCCAAAGCTCTGGAGAGAATGGCATGAGCCTCGTGTCACGGAGCGGGCGGAAGAGTAGGAAGGAAAGGATGGGAGAAGTGTGCTGTGATCGCTGTGATTGGACACAAGGGGGCAGTGAATGCCATTGGTGAGAGTCTCCAGACACTCGCACTTACCCCACACATTGATTCCCATTCGTTCGCTCTCTGGGAATGTGAGCTCTCGCCCGTCCATATTTTTAGCACATTTACACCAGTAATTGCCTGCCCTGATCTCCGATGGAATAAAAGTTACAGCGTTGCTGTTGTTTGCAGCTGTTTGTGATGTGATAAAATCGCCGTCTCTGAAAAAAGAGCATTTGCTGCCAGGTTAGTTCCCAGTACACGAGATCTCAGCGCTTTCCCCTCTCACAAACGCCCGGGAATCTGGCTTCAGAGAAATGCTGGTTTTCTGGAGCGAATCTGCAGTAAAAACACCGTAAAAATAATGTTGCAAACACTCGCTCTAATGTATGCTGTGAAAGTAAACATCAGTACCGACAATGAGTGCAGCCTCAGCCTGTGAGAATGTTTCTTTCTGAGGATAAATACGAGGCAGGATCGTGGATTGATCCTAATCCGGTTTATTGTACGCTGGGTTTCTGCTGCAGTTACACACTTTTCTGTGAGCTCGAGGTCAGTGTGAGCTGGGAGGTAGTTTGCGCTGGTTGTCGGTGTGAGCTCCAGGTCAGTGTGATCTAGGGGTCAAGGTGGGGCCTCGGGGCCAGGGTGGGGCCTCGGGGCCAGGGTGGGGCCTCGGGGCCAGGGTGGGGGCTCGGGGCCAGGGTGGGGGCTCGGGGCCAGGGTGGGGGCTCGGGGCCAGGGTGGGGGCTCGGGGCCAGGGTGGGGGCTCGGGGCCAGGGTGGGGGCTCGGGGCCAGGGTGGGGGGCTCCGGGGGGCCGCAGGGTGGGGGCTCGGGGCCAGGGTGGGGGCTCGGGGCCAGGGTGGGGGCTCGGGGCCAGGGTGGGGGCTCGGGGCCAGGGTGGGGGCTCGGGGCCAGGGTGGGGGCTCGGGGCCAGGGTGGGGGCTCGGGGCCAGGGTGGGGGTCTCGGGGCCAGGGTGGGGGCTCGGGGCCAGGGTGGGGGCTCGGGGCCAGAGTGGGGGCTCGGGGCCAGAGTGGGGGATCGGGGCCAGGGTGGTGCCTCGGGGTGCCTGATCGCTTGCTGCCTCCTTTTCAGGTAGAGTTTACAGCTCTCGGGCCAATATTCAAAACCAGGAGGGAATTTCTCGTGGTGACTTTGCCGATAATTCTCAAAATAAAATTGGTCATTGACTTAACAGGTTCTGCGGGAAGTTTGCTGTGCTCAAATAATTATTGCGATTATTGGCCGTGGTTTTAAATACCTGGTGTTGGTGAGGCTCATTTGCAGAACCTTGGAATGTCCTCCCGACATGAGCGGCGATGGTCACTAACTGTTATTGGTTTAAGGACCTGAGTCATGTCATTTTTTTGTCTATCAATAGTCACAAGTCAATAACACCAGATAATTTGGACCCAATCAGCAGCTCGTCCTGTGCTCAGCCCCTGACCCTTTCCCCAGCACAACCGCAACACGCAACCTGGGCTCACCTATCCCCATGCACAGCCGCACACTCTGCTCAGCCACCATCTATTCTCAGACTATTTTATCAACCACCACCCTGTGCTCAGCCCCTGCTATGCTTACCCCGACCACTTGGTTCCCCACCGTGCTCCCCCCTTGTGGTTACCGTCTGCGCTCACCCGTTTGCTCAACCTCACTATGCTCACCCCCTGTGCTCACCACGGTGTGCTCAACACTCCTGGGTTCACCCTGCCTATGCTATAATTTTTTGCTCACTCAGGCACATGTGCACATCACCTGTGCTCACCCAACGTGGGCACACCTAATGTGCTCACCCATCCTGTGCTCAACGCCTTGCTCAGGCCCACTGTGCTCAACCCCACTCTGCTCGCCACCTCTGTGCTCACCCTGTGTGTTCGCCCCCATATGCGATGCTCCCTCTCCTCCTCTCCTGTGCTCAAACCCTTTGTGCTCACCCCAACTGTGCTTACCAAACCTGCTCTCAACCTTCATGTGCTCATCTCTCCTGTTGCTCCCACCTCCTTTATGTTTTTACATCCGCCTGTGCTCACATCCTCTTTGCTCACCACTTCTGCTCACACACCAGTGCTGAAATCTCCTGGGCTCAACCCCACTCATCGTGATCACGCTCACGCTCCTTGTGCTCAACACCCTCAGTTTTCAATTCTCTGCTCACAGCTCATCCTCCAACCCGCATTCTGTACACATCCAGCCTGTGCTCACCCGCAATTTGCCACAAACTGTGCTCACCCCATGTCTTCAACCCCCACTGCTCAGTGACCGTTTGCTCAGCCCATTTGCTCACGCACTCTGGTCTCGCACATTGTGTCCCCTCATTGTGCTCACACCCTGTCCTCCACCGCTGTGCTGAACTCTCCTGTTGCTACGTCCGCATCAATATACTCATCCACCGCTAGCCATGTGCTCACCCTCTCTGCTCAGCACATCTGCTAACCACAGCTGCTCACTCCCGCGTGCTTGCACGACCTCTGCACATCACCTCAGTGCTCAGCCCTCCTCATCTTAATCCCCACCTTGTGCTCACTCCACTCTGTGCTCTGCCAGCCATCCCCTTTGTAATGGTCCAACGGTTGTACTCGCTGTGTCCACCCACCAGTGCTTACCCTCCCCTGTGATCACCCATCTGTGCTGGCCCTAATGTGCTCACCTCCTGTATTCGCACCTCCTGTGTTCAAGCCCTGTGCTCACGCCACTCTGCGCTCACACATCTGTGCTCACAACATCTGTGCTCACAACCGCTGTGCTCAAACCCAAGTTCTCCATCCTCCCCTTACTCCTGCCTATATTTCCTCCTCCCACTGTGTTCACTCGTCTATATTCACCATCCTGTTTTCTCAGCTACGCTCCTGTGCTTATCTCCCTGTCCTCACACACCCCCTGTGCTTAGAACCATGTGCTCAATCCCCTTTGCTCAGCCCCCTTCAATCACCATCCACTGTCCTCACTACCTTGCGTGCTTGCCATCTTCCTTGCTCACTCGCCTTCATGTGCTCACCCGCATCCCTTATGTTCAGCCACTGTACTCATTCACCTTTGCCACCACAACCTGTGTGCACCCTGTCCTTCTGCTCATCACCAATATGTTCGTCATCCTGTGCTTAAACTCCGTTTTGCTCAGGCACCTCCTTTTTTCACATGGAACGCCTCATTTCAACCCCACTCCTGTTCTCAAACACCTTGTACTCACACCACCTATGTATCCTCCTTGGGCTTACCTCCACTTTTACCCATCCTGTGCCCTCTTTCTCTGCTCAACACGCTGTGCCCTTTAACTGTGCTCAATCAAACTTTGCCCTCTTCCGCTTCTAAATCTCCTATGCCCTCTTCCTGTGCTCACGTGCCCTGTGCTCAAAACGTTGTGCCGAATCCCACTGTGCTCACTACCCTGTGCTAACACCCTTATTCACAACCTGTGTACAGTCCCTGTGCTCAGCTCCCCTTTCGCTCCCCACTCCCTGTCCTCAGCATGTGCTGAACACTCGCATGGTGAATCTCCCCTGCTCAGGCAGCTGTGTTAATCCCGTTGTGCAAACCAACCTATTCTTATTCCCACTTATGCACACCTCTGTTACTTCACTGTGGTGCCCCACAATGCTTGATCTGTGCTTCCCTGTGCTGCCTCTGTGCTCCCCACTTGTGCTCATACCCAATGATCAAGCCGCCCTTTGCTTTCCAACCCTGTGCTGCACAATTGTGCTCTCACCTCTGCTACGATACTTGTGCATTTCCACACCACATGCTCAGATTCCTGTGCTCCCCTCACTCCGCTCAACTCCACTTTGCTCACCCATTTGAGATCACGGACTTGTGCTCACCCTTGAGATGTTCTCACACAACACCTGTGCTCATATCCTGTGTTCAAACCGCTGTGATCATGTCCCTCAGATCAGAGACCCTCTCTTCGTCCCCCCCCCCCGGGCTCTCCTGCTGTGCCAGCACTGTGCTCACACTTCCTCTTATGCGTGTACCCTGAGCTCACATCGCAGTGCTCCCCAACTTGTTTTCAACCCTGTCTCGGCCTTCTGTGCTGCTACCGTCTCACAACCCAACACCTGCTGGTCACTCCAACATTGCTCGATCAACCTGTGCTTCCCTCCCTGTGCTCACTTCCCTGTGCTCATCACAGTTTTAATATCAGTTAACCTATGGTAACCACACCTGTGATCAACCCAATCTATTCACCCCATTTTGCTCTCCTGCATTTTGCTCAAACCCCTCCCTCTCGTGCTCTGCCTCTCTCTGTCAAACCCCCACTCCAGCAATCCAACCCGTTCACTCCACTGTGCTCACAGCCCGTGTGCTCTGCCATCTTTAACCTCACTCCGTCTCTCAACCCACACTCCGTACTCAAAACTACTGCGGTCAACGCCCCCCGTGTTCAGCCCACTTTTATTTGCACCCCATCCCTTGCAACCTTCCGTGCTCCTCCAACCCACATCGTGGTCACCACCCAGTCCACTCCGAAAACGACGTGATGATCAAAGATACACTTATTTACCTGAGCAGATGACTCCGGCATCATTGGAGTGTGTCCGGTAATAATGATTCCAGGTCACTGAGGGACAATCCCTCAGAGCAGACTCGCTCCCTTTGCACCGAATATTATATGCCACAACATAGCCTGATCCTTCCCCAAAGTGAGCTCCTGCTGATGCTGACAGCGCGGCTCCACATCCCAACTCCTTACACACCACAGCCGCGGCCTTCATATCCCAGGTCAGAACATACCCATAGTCATAGCTATAGCCATCCACTGAGCCCCAGTATCCTCCTTGGTAAACCTCCACTCTCCCGGCACATGGGCTGCCGCCATTCACCAGCCTCACACCCACATTCTCTGTAAAATATTGCACACTGTATTTAGAGTTTGATTCCTGCTTGACTTCCAGTCACCCAGCGTAATAGAATACAATGTACATATATTAGATTATTACAATTTATTTTAGACTTTTATAGTTTATATTAGATTATTATATCTGATGCTATCATACTTTATATAAGAATACTATACTTTATAATATTATATTATACTTTATACATACATCCTTATTGTGGTTAAATTATATAATTTTATTAAATAAAACTCAGCAACGGCAGTAGATCCCCGAAACTGCGCCCATGATATTAGGCATGCAAGATATTTCCGGTAAGTTACAAATCTTATCTGTCGCTCAATTGGTTATTGCGTTTGTTGACAGATAAACAGATATAGACACAGATATTGTCGTTTTATTAGTGTATTAATGGCTCAGGTTTGTGTCAGGCCACGTTACACAGTTTATACACAAATAAAAGAAATTTAGACTTCCAGTCAGTCAGCTTCCGCAACCCAAAGTCAAATATACTCAGGGCAAAAAAACTCTCCACTCCACCACCAAGGTAATAGCTAACCACAGGCCACAGCCAAAGAACCCCAAGGCACAAACACACTGGGCACAGCTCGCTCCACACAAAGACCCACCATCGGTCACAAACCTTCTACGATTGCACAGACGACACACCCAGGCTAAAATCCTCCCCCACCAAACATGCTGCAGCCTCTTGATCCTTCCCACACCTACCCCCAGTGCACAGCTAACATCCCAGGAACAGCAACTGCAGCAGAGCCCAACACCAGCTGACACAGAACTTCAAGCACAACGAACTCAGGGAACAGGTGTCGCCTCCCCAGATCGCAGCCACCTCCCAAACCAGCAGCCAACAGGCACAGGTACGAACTCACCATTGCAAAGACCCTCCATTTGCATATGCCACTGCATAGCGCCCAGCGCCTCCTCCACAGAACAAAATCCAACCAAGGTCAAATTCCATCATGACACGGCCCCTCAAACCTGGTCGAAACTCTTCCATATAAGGCTGAAACCCCTCACTGAAGGGTACAGTCCTTCCTTCAGGGCGGAGTTCTAACTCCCCGGTAACACACCTCCGCCCCCCCCCCCCCCAAGGGCAGAGAGCAGCCACTCTGCCAGGAAAAGCCCGTCAACCCCAATATTGTACCCAAGCTCTCCAGGGTACATTTCCACACCCGAGGGCACAGCCAACCAGATTGCACAGCAACAAAACTAGACACAGCCGCCTCTCTCCCCGCTCCGCTGAAAGACCCACCGAGGACACACAAACTCGCCGAGGGGACAGACCAACTTCCAACCTTAAATATAGCAGAACCCAGGCCCACCTCTATACAGGCATAGATTATCACAGGCATAGCCAACCAATCGCCCCCCAACCAAAGCACACGGCTGCCTCAGCACAGTACAAACCCTCCTCCCCAGGAACAACTCCCAAATGTCAGGGCATTGCTCCTCCCCCCAAGCACAGCCCACCAAAGGTACAGCCCTTAAGAGGGCCTAATAATGAAGGGGCAAGGCGGAGGTATGGAGGTAGCCTGTTTCAAGGTTTAAGAGCTAAAACCCGGTCACCATTCTTAGAACGGAGGGCACGAGGCCGAAGCGGAAGGTTGGAACCCGTCTACCAGCACTATTAATAATTAACATTATTATTAATGTGGCTTGTACCCTGCTTCCGCCTACTGTTCCCAGATGGTGCTGAAGAGAGGCCAACACTCACACTCAGAAGCAAATGTTCCCACAGCAGCTTTTGTCTGTGAGTTTGTGTCACTAACCTGCAGATTCCACCGTCTTTCCCTCCAGAAATAGCACTGCACAAGGAACAAGAAAACAAGATCAAAGCAAGAATTATTGATAACGAAATTCACACAATCAAGAACCTGACCTGTTCAGTCTGTCACACCGTCAATGGTCGATCCTTAACTACAGCATAGTCATTTAACGTCATCAATATAAAAGGCTCCAGTGGGAAGAAGCAGCATGGAGAAAGCCGGAGAGCCGTGGACGGGAATCAAGCAGAGATCCCCAATACTGGAGCGAGCAGTAGCACAGACACGATAGGCAAAGCGGGAGCAGGGAATGCGATTAGCGTAGGGAGCTCCAGTGTTGGAACCGAACACCATCATATACACAACAGGGAGAGAGTGAGTAGGGAATGGGGTTAGCTTAGAGAGCTCCAGTGTGGGTGCGAGCACCAGCACAGCCATTGGCGAGAGAGAATTCGGAATGGGATTCGTGTGGAGATCTCCAACAATAATAATAACAACAAATTGGATTTTGATTTATAAAGCGCCCACCACGCCAGAGGAAGAGCGAGCCCCAGCACAGACATGATGGTAAGAGCAGACAAAAAGACTGAATAAAGAAATATTTGACAGACTCACAAATACACCAATGGGCTAAACGGTATTTTCGGTGCAAAAAAAATCGTCTCTGTTTCTGTTCCGAGTCTTGGAGAACACGGGGTGTGGTGACCACGCAGAAACAGAAATTTATCCCGAATCCCGTTGATAGACAGAACACAATATTTCTCCATTTCGGTGAGCACTGTGTATGCTGGCTTATGTTTTTCCTGGTCTATCCTCAGGCTTTCGCCATTTCCAATAACTTGTGTTTTGACAACTTGCATTTATGTAGCGCCTTTCACGCGGGGAAGTGTCCAGGAGGACTTTATCTTTGCAAAGGCCTCCATCGCCGTTCAACCTCTCTCTTTCAATGACAACAATCCGAGTTCCCCCTCAAAATCCTCTAACCCTCCCTTTCACCATCGTTTAACCCCCCTCTCTCCCCTGAATCCCCTCCCACTTCCCCTGTTTTTCACCTCCCTCCCTCCCTGAAGTAGTGTGGAGAGTACGGGGGGAATGGGGTGTGATCGAAAGCACGGCAAAGGAGAGGGTGTTAAGCCGGATATTGAAGGAAACAAGGAAGGGCGAGCTGTTGAACTGCAAATTGGAATTCCAGAGAGTGGGGCAAAAGGTGGGTAGTTTGAGGCGGTCGATGTGAATCAGGACGGAGCCCACAGAGCGGTGGGAGCGGGAAGTTTCGTAGGGCGTTAGGAAGCCGTAACTGAAAGGGGGAACAAGGCCATGGAGGATTTTGAAGACGAAGAATACGGTCTTGAACTTCATCCAATGGAGTGGGCGAGAATGGGGTTGATACTGTCATCGAGCGTGGTGGAGGTGATGGCACTGGCAGCAGTGTTCAGGGTAATCTGCCACCAACAGAAGGAGGAGTTGTGGAGGCCGAAAAGCAGTGAGTTTGCAAAGGCAAACCTTGATATTATGAATGGGTGGCGGAGGTTTCGGTTGCATGTTGTTTGAAACCATGATGCTGTGTTGGTTGGCACAGTGTGCGGGGTAGAAAGGAGAGTTTGGAGTCAACCAAGAAGCCTCTCACTCCTCGCTGCTTCCCATCTATCTGGATGCGCCGTCCCTGTGATCGGTAAGAAACGATACTCACGGAAGATGAGAAACAATGGCTCCATGTCGAGGATGAGGAGGAGCTGAGGTGAAGCCCAGAGCCTGGGTTCTTGTGTTTGTCCGTCCTAAGGAGAGGGGTCTCCGTAGACGTAGTGATCAACCACACGCAGTAAATATCTGAAGCAGCGTTTTTCCAGGAATACTGTGATCCCCAAACCTCCAAATACCAGTGACACAGACACACACAGAGCTGTTGTGATAAAAAGCACACTGAGAAGCAGCGTGACACACACACACAGACGCACACCCACTAAGAGACGAACCTGAACTGCGATGTAGAGATTGATGTTGAGCGAATTTCAAACTTGTGAATCAGAGACCCAGCCTCTGCCTTTCCTTTCTCTCTTTCTTTCTGCAAAGACCAGGCGGTACCAGAATGTCTTGTGATGTTTTCAACAGGAATTGTTGCAACACATGCCTCAGACTCAAACTCAACCGGCCAGCGTGATGCTGATTCACATCAACAGCAATAAGCTATTTTAATGCGGTGAGTAAGCCCTGATAGGGAGCCGTGAGCTGAGCTGGGCACACAACGGAATATGTTGTGGAAAGGAGAAGTGAGTCCTTGCTGATTTCACATTGGACAATTCTCCATTGCTGTGTTATCAAATTCCGTGTTTTTCTGTTCGTATACAAACATATCGTCATTACACATTATACTCAGTCTCATTAAACACTTCGGAAAGATTGGTCGTAGGGATAAGATCTGGTGTTAAATGTAACAAAATATAGACTGGAGCAACAGATTTATGCTTTCAGTTTATCCTCTCTATCGGATCACATCCTTCCACTTTTCTGTTGCTCAGACTTTATATTTCCGTTGTTACTTCCTTCTTTGCTCCGTTGCAGTATCGCGCGGCAATCAATCCTGATGACAGCATAGCCCAGTCTGGCTCATCGGCAGGGCCTGGAAGGGTTGACCTCTCTCTGGGGACAGGGATTCTTCCAACTCAGCTCCTGATATTCCTGCAGCCCTAACTAACGCGTAAGGTGGTCCTAGCTGAACAAGCAGCAGGAAAGGTTGCTAGACAGCCATCTGAACGACAGACTGCGTGGGTTTAGCTGCTTAGACTCCAACAGTTACCCGAACGCGAAATACGACGTCAGCAATAAACACATTGGCTCCGATGTTTGAACTAAACCTGTAAATGAAGGCAATGGCTTCATACGGAGTGTATTTGGATTTCCAGGAAGCGTTTGATAAATTGCTGCACAGAAGGTGGTGAAGACACCTATGCTCCCAAAATAAGGATAATGAATAGGATTATACAGCACAGGAGGAGGCCATTCAGACCATGGTGTCTGTTCCGTCTTTTTGAAAGAGCTTTTCTAATTAATACGATTCACCCACTCTCTCCCCATAGCCCCGCAAATGTGACTTCCCCAAACATTCAGCCCATCATGTCCGTGCCAACTCTTTAAAAGAGCTGTCCAAATTAATCGTATTTCCCCACTCTCAACCCATAGACCAAAATCGAGGACTCTACCTTATCAATCCTCGTGGATTCCGCCCCCACCCCAACGTCCTACACCACATCAACTCGCTCAGGACCTAATCCATGACTACTCAGCGACTTGCGACGTCCTCGTGACGTACAAGTCGCTATACAAGTTTAGTTTCGCACTTTTATGTATGCCACAAAACAACAATTGAGATGCAGCAGAACAGATTGACGGAAAACGGTAAAATAGGTAAAACAACTATTATTGTTATTAAATTATTATTATATTGGTTTTATTATTGTTGTTATATTATTGCTACATTAGTATAATAATATTTTTTCAGCATTAGCTGTATTATGCCCGTACCCTGACCGTACCCGCCGTTTCTCTGGCTCCGGTCTGCTCCACATCCCCCGCCACAACCGCCCTAACATCGGTGGCCTTCAGCCTCCCAGCCCTGAGGCTCTGGAACTCCATCCCCCAGTGCCTTCGCCTTGGTTCCTCCCTTTCCTCGTTCAAGGCCGTGCCTTCAGCTCCCCTCTCCACTCTCTACCCCCTCCTCGCTCCCTCCCTTCCCTCCCCTCACCCTGACCATTTCCCCCTTGCTCGGGTCCTGACCCAACTGTACAGCGCCTTGGGACGTCCTCCCGACGTGAAAGGCGCTCTATAAATGGAATTTTGTTGTTATATTATTACTGCGTGTCAGAGAAAGAGAGACACTGTGTGTGTAAGACAGAGAGACGGGTGCGTGTTTGTGTGTGTCTGCGAGAGACAGATAGAGATTGCGTGTGTGTGACACAGAGACTGTGTGTGTGTGTGTGTGTGTGAGAGAGAGAGAGAGTCTATGTGACTGTGTTTCAGAGCTGCCCCTCAATCCATTCTCCTCTTAAACGAGCACGGACACTGCAGATCAAAATCATAAAGTCAGGACATGCCCCTTATTCACAGCTCAGTCAGTGAGAGAGACAGAGATAGAGAGACAGTGTGGACATGTGTCTGTCCCTGGGTCTCGGGCACACTCTGACTACAGCTCCCAGGATGCACAGCGCGGCCCCGCTCCGTGAGCAGAGGCCTCTGAGCCGTGAAGAATGCCGGGATCTGTAGTTTCCGGGGTCTGTGCCGCAGGCTGTGGCTGTGATTGTGATGTCAGAGAGAGGGGGGCAGTGAGAGGATGAGTGTGAGAGACAGAGAGGGATAGAGAGAGGATGAGTGTGAGACAGAGAGGGATAGAGAGAGGATGAGTGTGTGATAGAGAGAGGGACAGATAGAGGGTGAGTGTGAGAGAGACAGGGAGGGAGCGAGAGGCGTGCTACTGATCTGCCGCCGCCATATTTTCTCTCTCTCACTCCCTCCTGCACCCCTTCTCTCTCATACACACCCTCTCGTTCTCTCTTCCTCTCTGTCTGTTTCTCTCACATTCACCTTCTCTTTCTTTCGCTCACAGCTTCCCGCTGTGTGTGACCCTCTCTCTCCTCTCCCTCCATCACGTGGTGACGCCAGCACGCCCCTCTCCTCCCCTTCACTGACAGGGAAGCGCCCACTTTCTCCCTGTTAACGGGTAATTGATAGGAAAGAGAGAGACATGCCCACGGTCACGGTGATTGAGAAGACAGAGAGAGAGAGAGCCACGTCCAGTGTCTCCCTGGTAACCAGTGACTGACTGCAGAGAGAGAACCGCACTCACACTTATCCTCTGTGGTTCTCTAATCAGTGATTGACAGCAGTGAGAGAGTGAGAGAGAGAGAGAGAGAGAGAGAGAGAGACACCAACTATGATTCTCATTTTTATTGTTATTCTTCCTCCGGTTCGGAGTCAGGCGCTGCCAACGTTAAGCTCTGAGGCGATGCGCTGTGGAGAAGCAAAGGGTTCTATAATTGCCAGTTGATGTGATTATTGTTTTTTGTATTATTCCTATTGTTGATATTAGTATATTATATCAGAAAATTAGTACTGTATCAGTATTAGTGGCATATTATTATTTTTAGTACAGTTTCTAATGTACATATACATTAACATCAACTTTCAGTTATAAAGCGCTCTCCACGTGGGATTGGCGCTATTATTTTTTGTGTGAAACGCAGCAGCCAACTGAATACAGCTATGAACCACAAAAAANTGTTTGAAATATAATAGTGCTGCGTTTCATCAATAAAATACAGTTACTAGACTTTACAGTACAACCATAACGTCAACAAACAACAAAATTACATTTATAAAGCGGGTTACACGACGGAAGGACTTCCCAGTATATCTTGCGAAGCGGTTTGAATATCTGATAGGACACGATATCAAATGCAAGGATTATGATGATTTTTAAAAATCACATTGGAGATTCGATGTGGGTTTCTACACAGAGAAACGTGGAGAATAAAAACCCTCTTTGAACACTCTGACCTTAGCTTCAGCTGTTTATCTTTCCTTGTGGTTAAATAATTGGGCCGTTTTTGCATGGAGTTTTGTGTTGTTGGTACTTTATATCCGGTAAAGCTGCAAAGCTTAGACAATAGCAGTGATTCAGCTACCTTTGCCATTTGACATCACGTCTAATATAAAAATTTTCAAACAGCTTGAATTGAGCTGACGTGCACTCCATCATCTGGAGAAATTCCCATCTCTTTTCCAAGTACTATCGACTACTTTAAGAGACACAGAAATCAGTGAGCTTCCTGGGAGTTCTGAGTCTCACTTTTGGAGAGACACCATAATTGCCCTCTGGATATTGATAGAGAGGATAATGTGCCTCAGATAGAGTCCTGGTTAGGTTTGATATATTCATTCTGGTGGAATTAATTATAGTTAGGTTGCCACCTGGTTTCATATGAATTATAATAATTTGCGCAAACGGTATCTGCCTGTCTTTGCTCTTGCCTGTTAATAGCTGAGTTGCAGCTTAAAAGGCAGATATGTTTGCTCCCCCTGTGGTTACCCGAGGTATTGCAGGATGGAAGTGGCTTCCTTGTCTAATTGTAATGTTCTCAAAAACCGACAAGACAGCAGGGATGGGGAACTCTCAATTTAACTCTCTATTTCCCAAAGCAACACAAATCCCGGGACAGGTACAGCACAATAGTGGAAACATTTCGCTTTATTTACCACCTGAGCTGATAACTAATCAGACCTTTCCAAGTAAAGAGCGTTACAGTTCCAATATCCCTCTTGAGAA